CTGTCCTGGATTTCATGTGTCAAGAACTCTTATCTGTACCAGTGTACATGCTTCAGTCTAGCTGGATTTGTAAGGTAGAACAGGGGTCATGATAGTGGAGAGGGTGGGGGTGGGTGAGGAAGCATTAAAGAATTAGAGGAATGTTGTGTGTTTTGTAGGTGCTATGTTGCACCCTGGCTGACTAGTCCCTTCCTTGTGGCCCTTCTGTGAGGGGATGTCCAGTTGTCTACAAATGTGCTTTGGGACTCTACTCTGACCCCCTCCTTTGCATCGATAGAGCATAGAATTCTTAAAGAAAGGATTAGAGATGGAACCCTCACCTTTACAAGTACATGGGCCCAGATGGAGGGTATGTCAAGAAATAAGAGCTTTGCATTTTGATATTTTTGTTAAAAAATATAATTTTGCAAGCAATATTTCTTAATTTGCTCTTATGTATCTATTTGCAGCCCAAGCTTCTATTATGGTACCTCCTATATAATAAGTGCTCAATAATAATAATTGTGAATGATGATAACCAAGAGGTGATAAGTGATCACATCAACAAAACTCAACTATTAAAAACAAAACCAAAAACTTCAACTCAAAATAACTCTAGGGGACTTTCAAGCACTCTTAAAGATGTGTTGGACAATGGATCCATAAAAGTTGGGGACCTCATTTGAGTACCTGTATATTAGTATTTTCTTCTCTCAGAAGAAGAATTTCCGCTGTCAGAGCATCGATAAGTTCTCGATGATCAACCAATACTTGTTCCAGTTGCTGCCTTGTCTCAACTTCTTTACGCAGTTGCAATTCACTCTACAAAAAATACCAAATAAGCATCCATCAGTAGCACGACATATTGAAAACTAAAACTGTTGTTCAAAGCCATCAAGGAATATAGTATTTACAAAGAAATATTTATCATGTGACATTAGCAAGAATTGAACATCTATTTATTTTTAAAAGATTTACATCTCATTAAATAAAATGGACTAGGGGGGAAGGGAAGAAGAGGGGATAACAAACCCAGGGACAAGGGAACAACAAGCGATCCAAATTGGTGGGGAGGTGGGTGTGGGAGACCTGGT